ATGAGAGAAGAATTAAATTTTTATTTTAACCTAAAATATTATATTTAGTCCTAAAGGTGTTTACTCTAACCTATTTTCAGATTTAGTAAACTTTACCACATTTTCTTTTCTAAGTTGAGTCATAGGACAAAATCAAGATCATCTTCTAAACTCATACTATAAATTGTTAGAAAGGTTAATTTTTTTTACTGGCATAATTATAGTAAAGAAGATTTCTAGCCAGTTATTTTATAATTTTATGTACAATAAAACTATGGGAGAAGTATATTTTTAAAATGAAGATGGCCTGGTCAGCATGGCTCAGTGGTTGAGCATAGACCTATGAACCAGGAGGGCACAATTTAATTCCCCATCAGGGCACATGCCCGGGTTGCGGGCTCGATCCCCAGTAGGGGGCATGCAGGAGACGGCCGATCAATGATTTTCTATCATCATTGATGTTTCTATCTCTCTCCCCCCTCTCCCTTCCTCTCTGAAATCAGTGAAGAAAATTATATATACATATATACATACACACACACACACATACATACATACATATGAAGTTGGTTTTAGCCCTAGCAGGTTTGGTTCAGTGGATAGAGCATCGGCCTGCAGACTATAGGGTCTCAAGTTCGACTCCCCCTCTCTTCCTCTCTGAAATAAATAAAAAGCCATAAAAATAAAATAAGATAAAAGAATGAAGATGGTTTTGGTATTGAAGGTGTCCACTTCTTTGAATCAAACAAATAATTACATGCTGATTGATTACAGTTCTAGGGGACTGATGATACTGTCGTTAGAAATCCATTACAAAAGAATTGAGGTGTGTGTACACTTATGGATGTACTTCCTTCACATGTCCTTTCTTAAAGAGAAATCTGCCAAATAAACTTTAAAGGCAGTTAAAAATAGGAAGTTGGAAGCACAGTCTTTATTAAGTTTAAATGGCCTTCTGGCATGGGGAAACTTCATGGAAAGACAATAGCCTTTTTTCCCCCTTTAATTTTGACCATTACTTTCCTCTGAGAGGAGACATGTGCGGGGTGAGGCTGAATGAGTTGTCTTAAGGAGCATGTCTCTGCAGTTAGTCCTTTCACCTACCATTTGGAAAACCATTGGGTTCATATTTTCAAAAGTCTGTTAATAAGAAGGCACATTCTGTCTCTTGGCAAGAAAAGGACTGCTCCTGACATCCTCTCTGACTTTTCTGGTAGGATTTTGACTTTGGGACTTCCAAGCTCATGGCAACATCACTTAATAAAGTTATATTCCCAGGCCTCTCCTGCTCTGGTGCTGGGCACACTTGTAATTGCTCTGGGTGTTGCCACTGTCCTCTCCTCGGTCACATTGCCTAAAGTTGAAGGAGGAAACCACAGGAAGCCATGTTCTTTCTGGTGTTCTCCTTAAGCATTCACTGGGCGGTGAAATAATGAGTGTGATGTTTGATGGCAGTTGAGGACTTGTGAGATCTACTGATGCACACCATGGGGACAGGGTGTGTGGCTCACTGCAGGCTTCAGCTGTGAAATACCTTCCCAGATAAAACGAGGGAAATCATTTACCCGTAGACTGACCTCTGGCCATACCTGTAGCCATCGTCTACCAGTTGCAAGGGACGTAACTAGAAAAGGCCTGTAGAGGTAGGTTTTGATGTAGCTGTGGGTCATTTTTCCCTTTGATTATTCTTTTCACATTACCTGGTTTCCTTTAGGTTTGAGGTAATACCTTCTGGACTGTGAGTCAAATTGGAGTCTGAGTGTCCCCATGCCCCCGTCTCTCTGCAGCAATGCAGCGGACCTAGGGAAGGACGCCAGGGGCAGAGTATGAAAGGGTATTTGTTACACATACACGCGCACACAGGCACGGGTTTCAGAAAGTAAAATACCCCAAAATCGTTCTGTCTGTTGGGAGTGAGGGTGACAACACTGTAGGGAACATCAACCACAATATGGTTTTGGAAGAAAAAGAATACTTAGAAATTGCCTCTTACTTGTGCTCCGTGTTCTCATGAATTTCGTGGTTTGAGATTACAGCAAATAAATGGCTTCAGTCTTTCACTAAGTGAAAATATATGCACTGAATCTTTTTGCCTTTGCTTCCCTTCCAGTGTCAACGAGTGATACCGGGAGAAGAAAAAAAACGTGAAACACAGACTCATTTCCTACTCCACGTGGATGATAGCTATAGCAAGGGAAAATCTCATAGTTTATCAGTTGGGGCAGAAATGGAGGTAATTGGCAGTGGGCTGGATTTTCTTCTGTCCATTTTCTGGGGTATCGGTATATTTCCTATTTGTATTTTTTAAGAAGCAGTGTTTTTTATGTTGATTTGAAATTTGGTCACAATTTTGATAGGGTTGGCGCCTCAATTGCCTTATACAACTGGGGCCCATTGAAATCACTGGCTTGTGGCAGCAGAGTTAAGTGAAACCTGATGGTTCTCAGTTGTCAGGTCTACAACATCCCTGTAGTAATAAGTTAGTTAGGTTATTGGGAAGGTGCTGGTCAAATGGCAGCTCCCTGGGCTTCCTAACTGTTGGTTAGCCTTTGCCACTCTGCCTAATGAAAGATTAGTATCGGCAAAGAGACCTGCCTCAGGTGGCTATGGGAGTTGTGTTAGTGGCATACACTTAGAAAGGAAGTAAGGTTATTCTTTGATATGACAACACTTCATTTAGGTGAAAGCTTAAGTCGTTATGGGTGTGAGTGTCAGCTTGAATTGAAGGCAGAGGGTCTTAGGTATTTTGGCCTGACTTACAGTTGTGGTAGCCATGGCCAGTACCATCTGGCTCTGACAGAAGCCTCAATTTCCCAATGATCATATCAGCAATTTCCGATTTTCAGTTTTATGGCAGAGGCTTCTTAGAAGCTTAAACCCTTGTCCCAATGACGTCAAGTTCGCCCATTGGCTTGGAAGGTTCAGACTTGTCTTCCATCAACACCATGATGTCAGCAGTAATGAGTGTAAAAATCAAGTCCCCCACGAAGCCTCCAGGACCAAACCGGATTGGCCGAAGGAACCAGGTAAGCTTCTGTGGGCGAGGTGGTGACATCTGGTGACTTCGGTCTCTGAGACGTTGGGAGAAGGATGTTCTCTTGAGCCTCAGCTTGCTCGGATAAACCTGTGGGTGTATTGAGATGTAAGCAGACATACCCAGAGGTGGTCATCATTTTTCAAGTGTGAACTTTTCATAGCTTATTTCCATTTCCTTTCATGGAGAAAGTTTTCTATGCTGTGGTGTCAATATTGGTAAAGATGCCCTGATTCTCTGCCCTGTAATTTTATTTGATTGCCAGCTTTCTTCATTTGATGGCCAAGGTAAAGAACTTAACTTAGTTCTCTATTGTGATGTTGTTCTTTCCTTACCCAGCTGGTTTCTAAAGCCACCTCCTTGATTACTTTTTAAGTGTCTTCAGATTACGGAGCAAATAAGAACTGGTTGTCCTGGGGCTACTATCCAGCTTCCCATCCTCGACACAGCACAGAATTTGGCTCCAGAGAATTCCACATAAGAGGCAATTTAGTCCTTTTGAACTTGTAGTGAGCATTAGATCAGGAGAAGAAGGAAAGAGTAAATGAGTGGGCAGGGATACGGAGGATTAATGATGTAGTCAAAGCCCAGTCCCCTCCGTTGGGAAATGAGATGGATCTTTTAATTGACATACAAAGGGGGCACTTGCGAAGTGGTTGCTATCCTGTTAAGCAGCATGTTCAACGAAGCTCAAGGAGTGAGGTAGAGAGTACACAGTTCTCATTTCTTCTCTGAATCCATATGATATGAACCAATTCCTCCACATTTAGTTTTTGGTTGATCGGATTTAATGGGGTTATACCAAACCCTCAGGGAGCAGGCAGTCTTAAATTTGTCTAGATACCAGAAATGGAGATGAAAGTAAACTTGCTGGGATTTTTTAAATTAAAATTTTTTTTATTAACAATCCTACAGTGACTGTTATTATACAGAATTGTCTGAGTACACCTATGATGGTTTTCTATCAATTCTTAGAAGTAAAACATTAATTACGGCTTTCGATATAATTTGCCCTCCAGAAAAAGTTGTACCAGCCTAAAATCCCTCCAGCAGCATGGGAGAGTGTCTGTTTCTCCACACCTTTCTCAAGGCTGAGCACTTGGCAGAATTAAACAGTGTTTTAGGGTTGGAGCATTGATACCTTTCTCTCTCTTTTTTTCCCTTGTCTCTGCGTGCCTCTCTTCCTATGGGTCCTTGAGAAAATACTCAGCCTGCATGACTGTGGCCTGAGTCAAGAAGGAGTGCTAGCTCTGGGAAGAAAAGGTTTATTTCCACTCTCACATGACTGTCTGTCCATCCATCTGTTCGTTCGTCTCTCCATCCATTCACTCGTTTCATGGTATATGCCAGCTCCTAATTCCAGCCAGGTACTGCACCACGGTGTCAGACATTTCAGGATGAATGAGATAGAAAGGTCATTGTCTTCTCTTCCTTTGCTGTTCTACCAGGAGTAAGTGGTAGGTAGGGATCACGTCCTCTTTAAATAGCCCGGCACTGCCCTGCTCAGGCCGAGTCGGCATAAGTGTGGGCACCAGTCCTTTCCCAGTGGTTCAGAGATGACAAGTAGAGCCATAGGAGGGGACACACAGCTCTTCAGTCCCTGGGTGGTAACTGGGAGTGACTGTGTAAGTGTGGTGCAGGAAATGGGACAGGTGTGTGCCTCCGCTATTTGTCATCTACCCCCTGTGCCTCCAGGGTTCCTTGGGTTCTTGGGGGCATTGGCTCAGTTTTTGAAGGGGAGGTAAGGGCCAGAGGTAAAAAGAGAAAGACAGTGCACGGGAGAAAAAACAAACAATGCAGTGGGGAGAGAGCGCTTCACCCTCACCTGGGAGTGAGCGGGGAGGACTGCCACGGAGCCCTGGGAGGAGTCCCATGAGCGATAGCACCAAGTTCTAGGGCAGATTAGCCCCAGCTGGACACCGGCATGGGTGCCAGAGCATTTCGCTGGAACGGTTAGTTATCACATTAGCTGCTAATTTTATCTGTCAGCTCAGGAAGTGTGCTCTTTCCACTAGCGTGGCCCCAATAACTGGGTTCAGAATTCTCCAGAAGGTTTCTCCCAGCATCATCATGGTGGTGCCTTTTCTATTGAAAACTGTATCCGAGTTCACAGCCTTCCTTCCCCCAGAGCACCGTGGATTTTGTGGGCTGGAGTCACAGGCTGCGGCATGCCACTGCCAGGCTCAGAGCACGTTTGGGCCCGAGTTCATGATAAGCCCCAGAAGCAGTGCCAGGTAGCCCCATGAGCTGCTCTGTCTGCTTCTCCCTCAAGGTGAATGAAAGGTGATTTCTTTTTTTTATTTATTTGCCTCCTCAAGGAGCTAGTCTCTTGGAGACTTGGCTTTTTAACATGTATTTACATCCTGCTGATGAATCTTTCGCTAAAAAAATTTTAATGTATTGTATTGCTAATCTAATAATTCACCAAAAAGGCCCAAGACTGAATTTTGGCCTGGCTGTGAGGCATTTTTCATTATGATTGTGAGTGCTTGTATTTTGTCATTGCTACTTTTCTTTTTGGTTTTTCCGTTTGGTGGTCCTTGGCCAGCTCCATTCTAAGTGTAGTAGCACCGGGCTGAGAACATAGGACACCCCAGACACAGAGTATACCCCTATGAGAAGTGCAAGTCGCTGAACTCAGTGACACTTGCAGGCTTTTTACTATCTCTGGGTTAATCAACTTCCTTAGAATTGATAGCTGTAACTTTTTTTTTTTAAATTTGAGAGTGAAAGATGTATGATATACCTAGGTCTCAGACCCAGTGCCACAGACTAGGTAAAGGTGACTTACCCACAGGGGCTGCTTTCCAAGATGCCCAGTGGATGCCTGAATCTGTGGATGGTACCAAACCCCATATCTACTATGACTTTCCCCGTACGTACAAGCCTTTTCACGTAAGGAAGCATCTTTTGGCTTCTCTTTGGCACATTCGATTGCCAGCATCACCACTCTTGCACCGTGGGGCCATCACTAAGTAAAATAAGGGCAACTTGAACACAAGCACTGCAATACTTCAACAGTCAATCGGATATCCAAGATAGCCATTGAGTGACAGTGTATGCAGCCTGGGATGCTGGACACAGGAATGATTCACATCCCAGCAGAGGGCAGGATGGCATGAGAGTTCATCATACTACTCAGAACGGCAGGAAATTTAAACATATGGGTAGTTTATTTTAGAAATTTTACGTTTAATATTTTTGGACCGTAGTTGACCCATGGGTACCTAAAACCATGAAATATGAAACTGCAGATAAGGGGCGGGGGGGACTACTGTGCTCAAAACGAGGCCTGCTAGTCTTTGAAGAGAGAGAGAGACAGAGAACCACTATAGGCAGCTATACAGTAGACATCATGCATGCACTTCACCTCATCTGGCTTATGGTGCATTTGTTTTTATAGTCTTCAGGGTGACTTGTATTTTCACTATTTCTCATAAGCCAGCCTCAACAGTGTTTCTTTTCTGTGCCTTGGAGTTCATCTTTTTTTTTTTTTTTTTTTTCCTTTTTTTTTGTCAGACTTCTATAAGTGGTTTAGGGCATGGGCTGTCGAGCAGCTGGCCTGTGTTTTAATTCTGGATCTAATTTGGGGCAGGTTACTTGCCTCTCTGTACCCCAGTTTCCTCATCCAGAAAATGGGGTCCATAATAGTGGCTATTTTTTTTAGTGGTTGTAAAAAAAATTGATATTTTTATATGTACAGAGTTTAGCACATAGTAAGTGTTCAATAATTGGTGTTATTTGCGAGAAACAGAAACTCATTCAAATGAGCACAAGGAAAAAGAGGTCTGTTGAAAATGCCCGCAGGTCCAGCCCTCCCCTCTTTCACAGGTTGCTTGGTCTCCCACTCCATTAGCACATCCAGCTGCACGTTGTGGCTGGGGCCCGCCATGCTGCTGGGTCTGGCCCCAACCCTACCTGCACTGTAATTCAAGTGCTGCTGATCGCCTAACTTAGTAACCTAGGCAACCCCACACCTGGGCACATACCAGCATCTCCCGGGAGCCTGTGAAACAAGTTCCTGGGGTTCAGCTCCCCTCACCCCAGTGATTTTGACTCAGTCTGTTGTGAGCCTGATCTAGAAATCTCAGGAAGCTCCCAGGCGATTCTGCTGATCTTCGGAAACCCATGGATCTTAGTCTCTAAGTATCTCAATTCCACATTCCTGAGAGAGGCATCCAGGCCTTGATCCCGTTAGTTTTGGACAGACCTGAGGTGCTCAGGGATTGTGTGTTGAGAAGGTTGTGACAGGCATGTTCATGACAAAGCTCCAGGAATTATTTTGAAAGGAGTTGTGTAGGTAGTAAAGGAGCTTGTCATTTTCCTTAAAAAGGTAAAATATATTGCTTCAAGGAAGCTTGTCCTGTCCTGTGTGTTTTGAGGGAACATAAAATGGGCCACTTCCCCAAACAGTGAGCTTGTTCTTTTGTCGCCTCTGTGGGAGTCTTCATTTTGGGTTTTTAGTTGCTATCACAGCATTCTTATTCTTATTTACTATTTATGAGCGGTGTCAAGCAGGTGCTAGCAGGGAGTAAAAGGGCCAAGGTGGTGCCTGTTAGGCACACAGCTGGGCCGGGAGGCCTTCCACCATTAGGAGGTGTCATGAGAGCTTCATTACCTCTCATGTGTCCTTGTGAGGCCCGAGGACAGGTTGAAAAGAGTAGCTGGAGCCTGGGTCGGATTTGGGGAGAAATACATTCCTTTCCTAGCTCTGCCTTGACTTAATGCTTAATTTTTCGCCATTACTGATGATTAATTAAATGGTATATGTCTAATAAGAATACTAATATTTATTGAACACTTACCCTGTGCCAGGCACTAGTCCAGTACTTTATGTGTGTCAGCTGAATTAATCCTCATCACAGTGTGATGTGGTAGATGCTGTTACTTTCCCATTTTACAAATGAGGAAACTGAGGGCCAACAGGACGGTGACTTGTCCAAGCGCATACCAGACAGGCTCTAGAGCCCATCCTCTTAGCCGTCTCATTGCTACGGCCCATGAGTCACAGGTGCTCATGGCAGACAGAAGAGGCACCAGGTGCAATTGATTCTCCCTTTTATTATGTCTTTTCAGGAAATGAAAGAAGAGAAGTCTTCCTACAACTGCCCCCTGTGTGAAAAGATTTGCACTACACAGCACCAGTTAACTATGCACATTCGTCAGGTTTGCTACTGCTTTTATATTTTTGTTTTAAATCATTCTTCATTAAGAGAGGACCAAGTGATTTCGTATCAGTATATGAATTGTGGCTGTGTTTAATTTCAGTTTAATATTTTAATTATTTTGCGAGGTAGTTATGAAGTAATTTTTGTGTGTGTGATTGTGTCAAAGTCCCAGATCAACACAGAATTCCTTTTCAGAATTTAGCAAATACCGAGTTCACTGACCACATGTAGCAGAAGACTGCATGGTATGTGACTCGTCAGTATGAACCAAACCCCTTACAGAACAGGAAATTGTTGTATACCCTGCTCTTTATGTTGTTCCAGCCTCATGTCGTGCAGCAGGGCATTAACTTGATTTGGGATCTCATTTGGTTTTTCCTCCTTATTATTAGAGTTTTCCTTCTCCCTCACCTGTTATAACTGATTCATGACGAAGTACTGATGACTCTAGTGTCATTATTCAAGTTAGGGCGTGGTGCTAAAAAATAACATCATTTACTAATTTGGGTTTGGATGGAAATGTTCCTTCTTAACATGTTTCAGAGGCCAGACCTCTCTCAACTGTGCAGATTTCAGTTCTTTCCTGGCAGCAAGACTGAGTCATCAGACTTGAAGAATGGACACTGACAATGTGAGGACCACAGTTCACCTGTTTGCTGCAGAGCTGGCAGTCTTCCTGTTCGTGTTAATAGGGTGGTCAGTTCATCCATATGTGTCTCCAAGAAAGACCTTCAAAGATTCCAACTCTCTCTGAGTCTTGCAGAAGTATTTTTCAAAACCGAAACATGGAAATAGAAGAAGATCATACAGAATCTTTATTTGCCTGTGTTGCTGATCAGTCTTGACATTCAGGAAGATATTTAAAATGAAACAGAAAAAAAAAGCTGAGAAGCTTTACTGGTTTTATTATAAAGCTTTGAATTTGTGTTACTGAGTCTTGGCCCATCTTAAGTGACCACTGTGGTGATTGCTTTCTGCAGCACAACACGGACACCGGAGGGGCAGACCATTCATGCAGCATCTGCGGGAAGTCTCTGAGCTCGGCCAGCTCCCTGGACCGCCACATGCTGGTGCACTCTGGCGAGAGGCCTTACAAGTGCACTGTTTGTGGCCAGTCTTTTACCACCAATGGGAACATGCACAGGTGGGTGAGGGCCGCTGTGGCCTGGTGGCCTCTCAGCCATGATCAGAGAGAGGACTTGCCTGGAAACATTAATTCTGAATCCTGTTCACTGTATGGAAAAGCCAGAGATGGTTTTTGCGTGTGCATACTATCTCCGGAGCATTAGAGGTGTCTCATCGTGGGAAACAGAAGTACCTGGGCTAGGTCTTTGGCCCTTTGGGGATTAGGGTGAAACACCAAGTCCTTCCCCTTTGCCAGTTGCTATTTCTTTGTTCAGGTGCCAGAGGTGGGCAGCTTATCAGATACAGAGGAACCCTCAAGGAATAGCACAGTAACCTTTTGCCTTTTAAAAACTAGTTGCATATGCATCCTAGGTTCCCTGCAGGTGTTTTTCTTACGAAAAATCTCTGGGACCTTTGAATAAATAGTTAAGTTGCCTGGTCCTGGAGCTTTAGGGTAAGAGAGGATAAAAGAAGAAATAGACAATCTAATAAATGTCAGGAATTTCCTTCTGAGGGGGAGAGAGGCTCACTCAGAAGTGGGAGGGAGCTCAGTGGTGGGCATATTAAAATTCTGTGGTATGAGTCCATGGGAAGTATACTTTATAGAATGATTACATACGTTTTGAGGGGTTAGAATAGACTTTTTGTTAATCCTCACCCAAAGTTATTTTTTCCATTGAGTTTTAGAGAGTGAAAGAGAGGGGAGAGAGAGAGAGAGAAACATTGATGTAAGAGAGTCATGATGGGTTGCCTCCTGAAAGCACCCAGGCTGGGGCCAGAGATTGAACCTGGGGCACATCGGCCAATGCTCTAACCAGTGAGCAGCACCAGCTAGAGCAGAACAGACTTTTTAAATGTTTTTGTTTGAGCACAAACATTTTAGGAACATTAGAATTCTAGGAAAATTTTTTAAAGGGACTCAAAATTTTACCTTCTCAGAAAATCAGGCTGTTTTTATTTTTCTGAATTCTCTTCTAGGCTTTCTTTTTTGGGGGTGGGGTGGGGGTTAAGCCTCACCCGAGGATATTTTTTCCGTTGATTTTTAGAGAGTGGAAGGGAGTGGGGTAGAGAGAAACATCATCAATGTGAGAGAGACACATCGATTGGTTGCCTCCCACATGTGCCCCAACCAGGACCACAGATGGAGCCTGCAGCTGAGGTACGTGCCCTTCACTGGAATCGAACTCAGGACCCTTCAGCCTGATGGTCGACCCTCTATACATTGAGCCAAACCGGCCAAGGCATACTGCTTTCTTTTTAAAAGTTGACCAACATCTTGTTTTTCATATTTATTTCAAAAGAAATATGTTGTAAATTGATTTTTTATTACATGTAAATACTAATATGATATGGTCCATTTATTCCACCTAAAATCATTTCATGAACTAATGATGGTATACTTGGAACATACAAACATAATGGTAAATTTCTGGATTCTGAAATTAGGCACCTGGTTTCAAATTTCAGCTCTGCCACTTGTAAATTTCCCATTCGTGAGCAAGTTACTTAACCTATGTACCTCAGTTACCTCCTCTTTAACACAAGGTTTTTAATATCATCCATGTCATTGTACTAAGATGAGGATTAGGAAATAAGGAGTTCAGCACATGTCTATTACTTGCATTTCTAAGTAAAACTGCAATAATTTAAGCCTACGAATTTCTCAGTCTGCACTAGAAGTTAGAATATAGTATGACTCTCTGAAAGGTATCAATATTTTAAAGAATATTTACAAAGTACTTTACTTTTTTTTCCCCCATAAAAAGTTCAGTTTTCTCTCTTTGCTCCTCCTCTTCTTGAGTTTTGGGTATAAAGAAGGAAGTGAATACTGTTGCTATTTTAAAATACATATTACCTTTTAGCTTTTTGCTTTTTTTGTCGCCATATCAGCCTGTTGGTGACTTTGCCTTCTCTTTGCCGTTTTATTTTGTTTTTCCTGCAGCTCCTATCTACCTCATACCTCCCAAAAAGGACTCCCTCATATATTCGCCATCTTAAAATCTGGGCTTAGAGTGTTGTTGCCTGTCCCTTTCTGGGGCAGTTCTGCTCAGGGGGACTCCCCAGCTCTTATTTGGCAGTGGGCAGTGGGGTGCATTCCCTCCTCCTGGCTGCTTTAGCCCTAACTACTTACTGCTTATGATACTCCATGAGCCATCTCTGGTCTTAGGCCCAATCACACCTGATTTTAAAAATTTCTAATTATAACTAAAGTTACAGTGCACTATGCATCTGGCACTGGACTAAATTTCTATTTGTTTACATCTTTATGATATATAATTTATATACTATTCATTACATTTTACCCACCTAAAGTATGCAATTCAATGGGTTTAGTATATTCACAGAATTAATGCAGCCATCACTCTAATCAATTTTATATTTTCATCACGCCCAAAGGAAACCCATACCTATAAGCAATCATTTCTCATTACTTCCCACCCTCCACCCTGGGAAAACACTAATCTGCTTTCTGTCTTTGGATTTTCATATTCTGGACAGTTCATATAAATGGAATTATATAATGTTGGTCTTCTGTGACTGGCTGCTTTCACTTAGCATAATGTTTTCAAGATTGCTGTATGTTGTATGTAGCATGTGTCAGTACTTCATTCTTTTTTGTTGTCAGATGATAGCCCATTGTGTGGGTACCACATTTTACTTATCTCTTCAGTTGGTGGGCATTTGAGTCATTTCCACTTTTTGGCTATTATGAATAATGCTGCTATGAACATTGAACAGTTTTTCGTGTGGAAGCATGTGTTTATTTCTTCTGGGTAGCTACTTAGGAGTGGGATTACTGAGACATGTGGTAACTCCATGTTTAACATTTTGAGGAACTATCCCACTGTTTCCTAACGCAGCTGTACCATCATTTTATATTCCTACCAGCAGTGGATGAGGGTTCCAATTTTTCCGCGTCTTTGTTAACAGTTGTTCCTATTTGTCTCTGTCTTTTTCATTATAGCTATCCTAATAGGTGTGAAATGGAATAGGTGTGAGTTACATAATTTTAATTCTTACACTTACATCTATGATCTATTTGGGGTTAATATTTGCATAGTGTGTAAGGAAGGGGTCCAAGTTCAGTCTTTTGCACTATTTGGTAGAAAGACTTTTCTTTCCCCATTGAATTGTCTCGTTGACCATAAATACAAGGATTTAGATCTGTACTCGCAGTTCTGTTCCCTTGATCTCTATGTCTTCCCTGAGGCTAACATGATATTAATTACTGTTGCTTTTTGGTAAGTTTTGAAATCGAGTGGTATGGATCCTCTAACTTAGATCTTTTTCAAGATCGTTTTGGCTATTCTGAGTTGCTTGCATTTCTATATGAATTTTAGGATTAGCTTGTCAGGTGTTCGTTTTTGTTTGTTTTTTCCAAAAAAGGCAACTGAAATAATTACAGGGATTGCAAAATGTGTGGATCAATTTGGGGGCATTGCCATCATAATATTAAATTTTTAATCACGGAATATTTTCCATTTACTGGATTTCTTTCAACTAGAGAGAGAGGAAGGGGAAGGGATAGAGAGAGAGAAACATCGATGCGAGAGAAACATCAATTGGCTGCTTCCTGCTTGCACCCACTGGGGATTGAGCAACTCCAGGCCTGTGCCCTGACTGGAAATTGAACCGGTGACCTCTTGGTTCATGGGTCGACGGTCAACCACTGAGCCCCACTGGCTGGGCTAATTTCATTGTTTGATTGTGCGTTACTAGTGTATAAAAGTATAGTTCAGACTTTATATTGATCTCATTTCCTACAATTTTGCTGATTCATTCTAATAGTTACTTAGTGAATTCCTTAGGCTTTTCTGTATACAAGATCATGTCATCTGGAAATAGAGATAGTTGTACTTCTTCCTTTGAAACTAATCTGGATGCCTTTTCATTTATTTTTCTTGCCTGCTAGCCCTCATTAGATCCTCCAGCACAGTGTTAAATATATGTGGAGAGAATGGACATCATTGTCTTATTTCTGATCTTAGGAAGAAAGTATTCAATCTTTTCCCATTAAATATGATGGTAGTTGTGGGTTTTTCATAAATGCCCTTTAATCAGTTTGAGGTTCCTTTCTTTTCATGGTTTGCAGAGTGTTTTTATCATGAAAGGTTGTTGGATTTTGTCAAATGCTTTTTCTGCATTTTACTGAGATAGTCAAGTTTTGGATGTTGAACTAACTTTATTCCTGGGATAAATCCCACTTGGTCACAATGTATAATTATTTTCATATATTGATGGATTTGATTTGCTAGTATTTTTTTGCCAGTATTCATGAGAGAGATTGGTCTGTAGTGTTCTTTTCTTATGATACCCTTATCTGGTTTTTGTATCAGGGTAATTAATACAAGCTTCATAGAGTGAGTCAGGATATATTTCCTCCTTTTTTTTTTTTAAAGACTTTGTGAAGAGTTGTATTAAGGCTTGAAATAGTTGGTGGAATTCGCCAGTGAAGTCACGTGGGCTTTTCTTTCTGAGAAGTTTTTAAATTACTAATTCAGTCTCTTGTGATAGGTATGTTCACATTTCTATTTTTTCTTGAGTCAGTTTTAGTAGTTTATGTGTTTTCTATAAGTTGTCTAATTGGTTGGCATACAGTTGTTCATAGTAACCCCCCCGCCCATAATGCTTTTTATTCTGTGAAGTGAGTGGTGTTGTATCTTCTTTCATTTATGATTTTAACTAGAAACCCGGTGCACAAATTCGTGCACAGGTGGGGCCCCTCTGGGTGGCCTGCAGGGATCAGGCCAAAACCCGCAGTACAACGTCACCTGCAGCTTCTACCTGCTGCTCCCGCTCATCCCGGCCCCACTGTGCCTGCTGTGGGCTCACTCCCAATCAGCCCTAATCAGGAGAGGTGAACGCCCTGAGTCT